CCGTTCCCAAAAAGCAGAACGGCCCGTTCTAAAATCAGAACGGCCCGTTCCGAGACTCATCCAGAACGGCCCGTTCTCCCTCCGGAACGGCCCGTTCTCCCTCCAGAACGGCTCGTTCCAAAACCAGAACGGCCTGTTCTCCTTTTGGAACGGCCCGTTCTAGGCCCGTTCTCACTAAAAAAATTTAGTATAATTTTTAAGCTTGGAACGACCCGTTTTGCTTTTGGAACGGCCCGTTCCAAGTTACCAAAACACCCCTTAAATTTTTTTAAAATTGCGAAAATGCCATCAGTAATAAAATTACAAGAATACCCCTATACCTTTATAAAATTTACGAAAATGTCATTGATAATTAATAATAATAAAAAAAATGGGTATTACAAACTTCGTCAAGATCCACTTCTATTCCTTTTTGACTAACTATGAATCCCAACAATTTATCGGATTTCACACTAAAAGTATACTTGGATGAATTTAGCCTCAATTTGAACTTCCTTAGGCACTCAAACAATTTTTCATATGGATTAAATGATCTTCTTCTTTTCTTGATTTGGCAATCATGTCCTCCACGTATACCTCAATCTCCTTATGTATCATGTCATGAAACAAAGTCACCATTGCCCTCTAATACGTTGCCCCAACATTTTTTTAACATGAATGGCATGACCTTGTAGCAAAAGATTCCCCATGGTGTGATGAATGTAGTTTTCTCCATATCATCCTCAACCCTCTTAATTTCGTTATATCCTGAGTAGCCATCCATGAAAGAAAATAATAAATGTTGCATTGTGTTATCTATTAACACATCAATGTGAGGTAGTGGGAAATCATCCTTTGGGTTGACTCTATTTAAATCCTGATAATCTACACATATCCAAACTTTCCCACTTTATTAGGTATGGGGACTGTATTAGTAACTCATTGTGGGTATTTGGAAACAGCTAGAGAACCTACGTCAAATTGCTTCTTGACATCCTCTTTGATCTTTAAAGATAATTCTGATTTCATTTGCCTCAACTTTTGTTTAACAGGAGGACATTTGGCTTCAAAGGCATCTTATGCTCCATTATACCAGTATCAAGTCTTGACATATCCTAATGCGACTAGGCAAAGAAACCATTATAATCATGTAGGAGCTTTATCAACTTGTTATGTTTAACTTCTTTCATCAATGTGTCAATTTTGATTTCTTTTTTTTCCTTTGCACTCCCCAACTTGATTATCTCAGTCAATTCTTCATGAGGTTGGATTTCTTTACTCTCTTGTTCCACCAACATCAATAGCTCAGAGAAAGGCTCTAAATCATCCTTAGTTGTTAGTTTGATTAACAATGGGACAATCAAAATTATTTGATGCAATACTAACATTGTCACTTTTAAGCACATTTTTTTTTTCCAAATATGCATTATTTAAAATTGAGATAAGTTCGACAACAAAATTAAATAAGAAGAAAGGAAGAAACAAAAGGTGAAGGAAAAACAAATGCACTTTATTAATAAAATTTTTGAAAGAAATTACATGAGCCCTTATTCAAAAAAGAATCCTAAAGCCTAAGGCAAAGCAATAAGACTAGCATTACAAAAATTACTTTAAATTTGAATTGAAAACCATAGGTAACTCAACAATCTCCCAATTTTTTAGCTCAATGTTTGATGGACAAGCGCAAACTAGGTTGACATATTCATCCACATGAATGTCTTGCTCAACAATAGTTATTAAGTTTGGAAGCTCATACCCAACACTCCCAAAGATTTCTCATAGATCACAGATAGGGATCTCTAATTTTTTTAGCTCCCTATTTTCTAGTCTGGCTAACCTTTTCTCTTTTCTCATGCACAACTCACCTTTTATTAGCCTTTGAGGGTTTGTAATCCAAACCAAATCAATCTTTATTTTCTATCAATTCCAACAATTGACTCAGACCTTGTAAATTTCTTCCTAGTCCACATCCATACCAATACCCATTCTCTATCATGATTTTAGCTACCATTATGGAAGCACCAAATGGTTGTGGCTTCATGACAATCTTTCCATAATTGACATTTGCAATCCCAAGCCTTTGAAATGAGGTCTCTAAAGCTTCTTCAGTAACCTCAATATAAGGAGTGAATGAAGTTTTACTAACCAACAATTAATGACCAACTTGTTATCAATAAAATTTTAACTTCTGGTGAAGTGTGGAGGGCACAACCCTTGCACAATGAATTTAAGGTCTTCCCAAAATGCAATTGTAAGCTAATGCAATTTTCATCACATGAAATACTACCCTAAAGGTATTAGGAACGATTTGGATAGGAAGACTTATTTCCTCGGTCACTTCCCTGCGAGACCCGTCAAAAGCCCTCACTATCATAGTGCTTGGCTTAATGTATGATTCATCATATCAAAGTTTTGTCAATGTTATCTTTGGCATCACATTTAATGAAGAACCATTGTCAACTAAAAATCTCGCCAGGATATGGTCCATGTATTTTATTGATATGTGCAAGGCGTTATTGTGCCCAACTTCTTCCACTAGCATCTCATCATCAATATGTTAAGTCATACGAAGCAATTCCCAACAAGGTTTTGAACATGATAAATATAATACATATTGTTATTTCTAACATGTGTGTTAGTGTTTCAGATAAATATAAGAATAGGCAAAACTAAAAAATGAAGTACGTGTTATTACACATACTAAGGTCAAATCAAACGAAGCCTGGTTGAGCTATACAAAACATCAGACGATGGTTGATCAAGCATCAAGACTAAGTCTGATCAAAAGCCAGACGAAAATACAACAAATACAAGACAAGGCGTACTACCAGTCGAAGTCTTGAAGTATCAGACAAAAGGCCAAAACAAGTATCAAACAAGGCTAAATCAAGAACAAGACAAAAGTTGGTTAAGCACCGGATGAAGTCCGTACAGACATCAGATGAAGCTTAATGATCAACTAGATGAAGGTCAACAAAGTATCAGACGATGGATAACACAAGACGAAGAAACGTTCCAGACGAAATTAAAGTCTTCCATCTTCACAACTGACCAGACGGAAGGAAAAGTCAAAGTCTACTTCTCAAATGGAGACTCAAATTTGAGATGCATTACCAAACGCAAACGAAGAATACTGAAAAGCTTATGAAGTCCACTATTCACAACAAAAGATATCAAATATCGTCTACACTCATAGAAGAGCACACAAAGTCATCAAATTTGTGAGAAGAAAGAAGAAAGATAGACAAGCGCGCATCCACAAGTCAAAGCATGCGTGTGTCAGAGAAAGTACACCTACTTTTCAGAAAAAGACAACGCCTTTGCAGCTGCGATGACAAAAAGAGAACAAAAATACCTAGATTATGATTGAAGTCAGAAATAGAAGTGAACGAACTACACAAAAGACTTCATGTAACATAGATTCAGTAAGCAAACATTTAATGCAAGATCAAATGCATTAAATGGAAGATCTATATGGCCATAAACGAACTACTATCTACGCCAACGGGAAGCTCCGCTCCAACGTACTCTTTCAAATTTAAACAACGGGCAGATTTATCACGAGGCTATAAATATCAAGAACTAACAAGAGAAAGAGAGAAGAGAAGAAACAAGTAATAAGCAAAGGTGAACGTAAAAGCGAACTTACAGCTCTTCCTGTACAGTCTTGTATATTTGTGTAAATCTAAAATAGCTTATCTTAGCGAGTGTTGAGACTATCTTATCCTCTCTGTGAGAGTAATACACACACTCAAAACACATATCTCTGTAAAACTAAGGTTGCATACCTTAGCGAATGTAGAAACCATCCTATCCTCTCTGTGCGAGTTATACACACATTCAAAATATCTATCTTTTGTCAAGCCTGAAGAGGCTAGTTGAAAGAATACTTGAGAAACCAAAAGTGGTTTAAGAATACTAGCGCTGATGAGAAGTTGGCGAACCAGGAATGATTGATAATACTTGGGGAACCAGAAGTAGTTTAAGAATACTAGCGCTAACGAGTGAAGTTGGCGAACCAGAAGTGGTTGATAATACATGTAATCCGTTGTGATTAGTGGAACCCTTCAGTTGAAAGAGACTGGACTTAACTTCACGAAGCGGGAAAGTCCGAGTTTTCCCAACATTGATGTTATTTGTTATCTTATGAAACAGATTTTGCTGATTGGAGTTGGGAGGAGTTCAAAACACACAGACTAGGCGCTGCCCAAAATTGCTCTGCTACTCATAAGGGCAACCACAAGCTTACCGATGCTGTTCTTCCTCCCACGGTACGTTCAAAAGCTACTGTCACTAAAATAACAATGATACTAAAACATCATACTTGAAAATTTAAGGACTAAACTGACTGGTGTTTGTGATTTGAAAAATAATTTGATGCATTACTTTCTTCCCTCTAATTATTCTGTTTACTCCATGAAAAAAACATTGGACCATATTTGTTTCTTAACATTAAGTATGCTTATTTTTATATAATACATCTTCTAAAAAATAATCAGAGGGTAATATAGAAGACTATAGCATTACTCAAATTTGCATTCCATTGGCCACATGTACAGAAAGACTGGAGAAAACATGGTATAGTGAGTGCAGTTAAAGATCAGGGCAGCTGTGGATCATGCTGGACATTCAGGTTAATTATTTTGGACCCTCAAATGTCTTTGAAATGAGTAAGGTGAAGATTCTAATTTGTGATGATTGTAACCGTGACATGTGCAACATGCAGCACAACTGGGGCTTTAGAAGCAGCCTATGCACAGGCATTTGGGAAGAGTGTGTCTCTTTCTGAGCAGCAGCTAGTGGATTGTGCTGGTCGTTTCAATAACTTTGGCTGTAATGGTGGGTTGCCATCACAAGCCTTTGAGTACATTAAATACAATGGTGGACTTGAAACAGAAGAAGCATATCCCTACACTGGAGAAGATGGTGTCTGCAAATTCTCTGCTGAAAATGTTGCTGTTCAAGTCCTTGACTCTGTCAATATCACCTTGGTACTCACTTCTCTGATTTTTCCTACAAAGGAGTTGGGGTTTTCTGCTTTTATGTGCTCAACTATTCATAGTTGGATAAATTTCTCTAAAAATATTTTTATAAAAGTAAAATAAAGGAAATTTATCTAAGGTACTTTATAGAAGTTCACATATTAATTTTTTTTAAAATATGTATTTTTATTTATGTATAAACTAATTATAAGTTATAGAAAAATATTTTTTTCCTTCTAAAAGTGTTTTTTTGTAAAAAGTTTATTAACATAAATCAAAGTTTACACAGAGAGACAGCAGAATCAAATCTGTCTTGTTCTCACACTTAAATGGGATTTACATTAGATTTCTAATTTTTCTGTTTTGTCTCATGTTTTGAGTACAGGGTGCTGAGGATGAATTGAAGCATGCAGTTGCATTTGTTAGGCCAGTTAGTGTCGCTTTCCAAGTGGTTAACGGTTTCCGATTCTACCAGAACGGAGTTTACTCTAGCAACACTTGTGGTAGCACTTCCCAGGTGAGTTCTTCTAAAACCACAAAATTTAGATATAGTTCCTATAATGCAGTTAAAATCGAAGTTTTATCTGGATAAATCATGTTAATTTTTTAATACAAATGAACCTTTATTAGGTGGATTGAAGTTAAACTAATTCTGATTAGAAGAGAATACTAAAAATACCTAAAAATGATTACCTGGCCTTTGACAGTCAACTCAAGTGTAATGAAATTTTCAAAACTAAATGGTCTGCAAGAAGTTTATGTTTTGATGACAATTTACATCGAATATATGATAAGTTGTTTTTGTCAATACATCATATGATTCCAACTATTAGCATGTCAAATGTTAGTTAATTGTTTTGATGTGTTCAAAATATCCTAGTTTCATTTATTGCATGTTCATTTTGCTAATTGAAGAGGTATCAAAATCCAAATTTGGTTGGCAGGATGTGAACCATGCCGTTCTTGCTGTTGGGTATGGAGTTGAAAATGGTGTCCCATATTGGCTCATTAAAAATTCATGGGGAGAAAGCTGGGGTGACAATGGCTACTTCAAGATGGAACTGGGGAAGAACATGTGTGGTTAGTAAACACAAAACTTAAAATGATCTCAATCAATAACTTTGGCTTCCTTTGAAATACTGAGTTTATAAAGTTGATGAGACGAACTGATTTGTAGTAATGATTTTGTTAATTGTTCATTTTCAGGTGTTGCAACTTGTGCGTCTTATCCGGTTGTGGCTTAAATTCCACAACAATATGTCAATATGGTTCCCTGGTTCAGAGTGTAGCTGACGCCAGTAAAGAAAAGTGCCATCATTGTATGATGAAATATGCACCTAGTTTACATGATGTATAAAATAAGCTAGAAGTTGCTGTAAATCACTTGAGGATATCATACATAAGTTGTGTGTATCACAGACATAATTTGTTAGATGCATATTTATAATATTTATACTCCACTCTTTGATTAATTAGCTATTGAAAGATATCATGTTGTTACTGCTTGCAAAATGTAACATGATGTTGTGGCTGCTTCACTGTTCACAAATCACAATATGTCACACTGTTAACATTCATAGAGGCTTGGGTTGTGACACTGGCAATGTGTGAAAATGTTTGTGCAGTATTATTTTCTATTCATTTTTTTTCCTATAAAGTGAAACTTTTACGGGTAGAGTTCAAAAGTATTTGAATAAAGTTTTTCATATCCCTTAAAAAAATTCATAAACACTTGCATAAGAAAAAGTTAATGAAAAATAAAATGAAAAAAGTTTGTTTATAAATTAAAAATAATTTTTTGTACAATTCGATATAAATTTCTACAAATTAATTTTTGCTTATAAAAAAATTATTTTTTTTTATGTTCTTCTCTTATACTCCTTCCATTTTTTTTAATAATTATAAATGTTTTTAAATAAAGTTTTGTTTCTAATTATTTATCGTTTTCAAAATTTAAGAGAATATCAATTATTATTTTTTTACCATATTCTTACTTATCACTTAGTTTTTAATTAATTTACATATCGATAATTAATATATACTTATTAGAAACATCAAAATCATTTTATAGAAAATATAAAAATTTATTATACATTTTAATTTTGTATATAACAACTTTAAATCACTATTAAAAAATATCAGAATAATAAGTTCTTTTATATATATATATATAATATATATATATATTATCTACTCAATAAGATAAACCTATCTGCAATGCTAGATTTTGAACCGAAAACAATGATCAGTGAAGCAAGTGATCAAAATTTCCAAAATATTTAACACATTGGAAGCACAGTGAACGAGAGTATAACAGGCCATTTAGACGACCAAGCTCCTACAAAGAAAAGAAAAGCATACTTTAGTAAAAAAATTATTATTATTATATTATAAATAAAAATATATAACTATATTAAATACAATAATAACACTACTTTTATCTTTTATATAAAAAACAAATAAATATATTTTTTAATAATTATAAGAAATAAATAAATACATTTTTATAATTCTAAGAAATATAAAATAAATTTTAAATATATTAACTACATAATTTTGTTATACTCTTAATTATTATGAAGTGTACTAATGAGACACTCACTCAAATATTGTGCAAGTGAATGTGTTCATTTACTTATTAACAAATTAAGCCACACCCAAAAGTTATATTTTAAATATGATTAATGTCATTAAATATAATTATTACTTAAACTATTTAGTATATTAATTAGAATAAAAGTTAAATTTAACATATTATTATTAATTAAAAGGAATTAACTTAACTATTTTTATTAATTTTGATGAATTAATTATTTTGTTATATATATAAGATTAGAGGTATGAAATTATGTTAAATATTCAGAGAAAGAAAGAGAGTTTTATTATTTATAATGATTATACCCAACTTGGATAGGAGTGTCTCAAGTGAAAGATAGTATATGAGAAAAGAAATAAATTAGATGATTAAAATAATTTTGAATGATTATGTGTGGACACCTCAACATTAAAACCACTTCATTAATACCTTTCATATTTTTTCTATCACATATATTATTTATCATATTTATATTTCTCTTTTTTTCTCTTCTTAAGTGTCCACTGAATAATTTTCGAAATTGTTAATATTGGTATATTTGTGAAATTTTGAAATAATATGCATGGTGTCATAATTTTGTTGCATCCTTTGTACAACATCAAAATAAAAATTTTCATGTATTGATTTAATGTTATATTTTATATATAAATTTAAGCATACATAAAATTATTTTTATAGTAATTTAAATACATTTTAAAAAATTGAGGTAAAGGGGAGAGGGACTATGGTCATTCAAATCCTCTTTCCCCCAACCCTAATTATAGTAAAGGTAAATATGTTTTAATAACTATTTTTTAATACATTCTAATTATTAATTCAAATTTATTAAAAATCGTAAATTTTTGTGTATCTCATTTCTTATTTTGATGATTTTTTTTCTTCTTAATTTCGTAGTTTTCATTGATTTTTAATTATAATGTGTTAAATAATAGAGTAAAATTTCTACCATTAAAAAGACTAGAATATAAAATCTGAAATATTTTTTCATTTATTAATTATACTCTCTAAAGAGATATACATTTATATAACTGTCGATATGAATAATATTTATTCATATATCAACATTCTATTATTTCAAAATATTAAGTTAAATATTTAACTTCATCAAATATAATCTTTCAACTATTTTCTATTTTATTTTTAGGATATATTTTGGGTGTCTCTAGACCCATCCTTTTAATTGTTAGAACTTAAAGGTTTGTTTTATGAAATTTATCTCTATGTTCATTTCAATGTCATTTTTTTAATTAAAAAAATGTAACTAATTTTCCCTATAACTTTTTAAGTGATTAATAAAACTTAATAAATAATCCACAACAATAATGTATAATGACAAATTAACTACAGATAATATAATAAAAAAATTTAATTAATAATTTAAATTTAAATTATTTTGAAATCATGTATAGAAAGAAATAGGAACTTAATCGAGGTCTAAGATAGAAATCATTTTTAAATAATTTAAAACTACCAAGTATAACCGATCTGTTCATAATAATTAATTGTTTTTAAGTTATGAAAGGAAAAAAAAAAAAGTTAAATAGGATCATATAGTTCACGAACTTAAAAGCTCAGTGTAAAACCTTCCAAACTCTAGAAATATAGGTCTAAGATCCTTATTTGAAAATATATAGGTAGGTATACCATCCAACCTAACTATATCCAAGAAGTAGAATTTTGCTAATCTATCTATTGGATAGCATGTCTCAAATCTCATTGGGCAATAAATAAGCCAACTTGATAATTTATTTGCTATGACCTACATAGCATCATTTCCAGCTCACATTTTAAGAAAACCAAGAGCAAAGTCATGGTTGCACGATCTCTTGTTCTTTTAAGATTGCTGTAATGTTTCAATTTTCACTTATTTACAAACACCTAATCTCTCCCTTTCTAGGGCAATAAGTCCTTTCCTAGAGAGCAATAAAAGTCCATTACCCGAGCATAATTTAAATATGAATTAAATAAATATTATTTAAAATAAGAAAAACCATAATTTTTTTTGTATATAAAATCCATAAGTTAGTTTAAATTAATTATAAATCTAAATAGTTTATATTTTAGAAAATCAATTTAAGAGTATAAGATATATTTGATACACTTTAGGTAAAATATAAGGAGAATAACATCTCTCCGGTGTGGGTTCTTATAAGAACCAAATTGGAGTTCTTATATCACTTTATATGAGGTCTACCAGCTCTAAGTAATTTATACTAGATTTTTATAAATTTTGCTCTAATGATTATTCTTATCATCCACACTTTTATAATTTTTTATTTACACATCACCTTTTATAATTAAATTATTATAATTAAATATCAATTTAACAAAATATAATATTCAAATATGGATAAAAAATTAATTAAAATTTTCACACATTTATAATACATATAGAAACATTATATATTAAAAATAAACAAATTTCATATTTAAGAGAAATCACGGAGAGGCTCACATTTCTTCTTCATTCTCCACTTTCATTCAGGTTGCGGGGGAGGTGGGAAATTGGGGAACTGAGAGGCGCGCGGAGGCCGTTGTGCAGAGGTGGATGGAGATGGCACGCAGAAGCTGTCGTGAAGAATCCGGTCGTTCAGCAGCTTCTACACGACGGAGATGGTGACTCC